TTATATCAATTTACTATTGATTTAGATGAAACAATCTGGTTGTTGAAGGAATCAAATCAACAAGTAAAATAGCAAATGTGTGTTAATTTGCCAATAAGGTGGCAACACTAATCAAGTTTACAGTTAACACTGTAACTGTCACGTTATTAGATGTTAACACTTATGTAACTTTAGAAGCTAATAATGTATTAATACAATTGATTACAATTGTAATTCCTAATTAACAACGTGTTTGCATTTTTTCTTGTTCTCAATCAAATTAGCCTTAAGCTACTAATTCAATTGTAGTTAGTTGGCTAATCAAACATTGTAAAACCTTGACTTGGAAAGTAATTGTGTTAACTTTGTAACAATTGCAAGTGACTTTTTAATGTAACTCGCTTGCTTTTAACAATCAATGGTTGATTAAATTTTCATTTTTCACTTTAATAAATCATTTTGATTCCTTTTTTCGCTATTAAAGTTTAACACTGATTGATTTTGAAACAGTTCAATGTAATCTACAGATTATTTGGAGATTTAAATGAATTGAGATTGAATTTGCTTAAAATAATTAAATGATTCGCATGTAGGTGTGTGTGTGAGTGTGTCTATAAGTATCAAGAGTGTTTTTTTCACCACAAACTACCTTTAATGGGAATTGAAAAGTGAAAAAAGTTAACTGATGAGAGGAAGAAAAAAATATGCATGAGACGAGTTTCTGGAGACAGATCATCATTCAGATGATACATCAAATACCTAATCAAATTGAATAGGGAAAAGGTTTTGTTTCACTGTTTTTTTGTAACCGTTCAACAAATGATAATCGACCAAATAAAGAGACAATTGAAAGCAAAAACGATGTGATAATCGTTCAGGTGTGGGTGACAATGTCGACCAATTTACTGATTGTTTCCAAGTTATGATTTGCTTTTGTTTGTTCACTTTTATGGGTTAACAGTCTTGAGTCTTCTTCCTTTGGAATTTGAATGGACAAATGGAAAGATGGAAAGATAATTGCAGGGTGATCAGGAATTAAACAGGAAAACTTGATTCCATTGATCGCCCACAATTAAGGGTGATTTACAGTAATAACTGAATCAACAACTATGAAAATTGTTTGAGCAAATGTTTCATTGTGACATCAGATTGTTACATTTGTTCAAATGGTTTGACAACCTTTCATTTTGCATTCATTTTGTTCATTCAACTTGGTAAAGATTGAACACAAATAAGTGATTAAACAAAAACGCCAAACAATTGATTGAATATATTTGTTTACTTGTTCAGTATCATGAAGGTATCAAAATAAACTGATCAATAAAAAAACAACACAATCACAAATAGAGCTGATGATTGTTTCAGATTTTTGCTCAAATGTTTAAATTGAAATGAAATTGTTTGAAATTGATTGTGCATAGACAATAGTGGCTGCAAGTTTCACTATTTTTTGATTGCTCGTTAAATCAATTGATGAGAGGCAGTAATGATATCAAAATGATTAATCCATAAGTGAAGTGAACAAAATGTAAAAAAAGAGTTGAAAGGATAAGTCAATCAATTTTGAGGAGAAAAGCTGAAAATAAAATTATTCCAGTTAACCAGAAAACAAAATGCACTCAAATGATACTATTGATGTACATCATGTTTTAATCAATTAACCTAACCAACAAGGTAACTGAGTAAATACAGAAATGAAAATGTAATTCATCAATGAGGATTAATTGAGCAAAATAGGAAACTCTAAAAACATTTTTTTTCTGAAAAAACATCATTAACATGAAACTGATTATAATGAGATGAAATTGAGGAGGAATAAAGACTTTATATAAAGATTTAAATTGATCAAATCAACTATGAAACTGATGAGATGGAAATTTCATCTACTTGATAAATGATGTCGAATGGATTCAATGATTTCTCGTTGAATCAATATTGAAAGGTATTTAGATTGTGATTTTCAGATGAATGAGGAAGACAATTTAACGACAATTGATTAGGATTACACAATTAAAAGTAATCGAGCTTTTTGTCAGTCTTCTTTGTAAGAAACTGGTAATGAGAAGTAAAAAAACTTGTCCAGTTTGGTGAGTTTACACCAAAAAGTATCACTAATTTTATCGTTATACAAATAAATGTTGGGAAGAAAGATGATGATAAAAACATGAGAGCAACCTGATGGTTGAACCAGTTCAGTCCAATATCTTTGCCATCACTCGTTATCTTTATCATCTCCTCTAATGAGCTTCCTTTCATTCACTTAAGTGATCTTCCCAATTAAAAAGCTGCTTCCAGGTCGCTCTTCAGTTCCTCCATCTATTTCCTTGCTTCGACTTTATCATGATTCTTCCCTTTATCTCTTTCTATTTTGACTCTCTTCTTCATTCATCATCATATTCATCGCCATGGCCATAATCACCAACAGGTTAGTTGAGAGGTCATCAAGGTTCGCATTAAAAGAGTTGCAAAAATTAAATAAAGAAGAACAAGTTGAGGAAATTAACTTGGACAATTTAAATAGATGCACAATTAATATTAACAATTTGGTTAAATTGTCAACTCGTGAGTTACCAGTTTGTAATCGTTTCGAGTAAAGGCTTGTGTTTCACTTAAGTGTTGTACTGCTGTAGTCAGTTAATTATGTTGAATAATTTTATTGCCTTTTACCTGAGAATGAGGAGAAACTGTTCGTCAACCATAAACACAGACAAATTGCTTGATGCTGTAACCTGGTTTCACGAACTCGAAGAAAGTGTTTGCAGTGTTTCGTCTTTTTTTCCTCGACTTGTGCTGCTCTTAAGGATTGTTTAATGTTATTAACGGTCCTTTAATTAGGATAATATTGTCATTAGAATAGTATTTAAATGTTACCACAAAAGGCCGTTCGTCTTTACTATCAAAACTATTAGCATCATTTGATTGTCAAATGATCAATAAATGTTGTGAAAAGCATTTGACCAAAATCACAAGTACGAAACAGTCAACAACTGCTAATTACATCATTGTCACGGTAATCATCACCATCATTAACATTGAAGTTAAGATGCAATTAACTTTGTATTTGCACTATTGATCGAATCACTTTCAATGGCTTTCACATTAGCATAAATTTTTGATTGTTCAATTCACACTTGCATGTTAAATTGATAAAGAACCAGCGTAAGCCAACAAAGCACCTACTTGATGAATCGATCAACAAATGACCAAGCAGTTTCGATAAGCAAAGTATACAATAAATTATCATAAAACATGTTAACCATAACTAATCAAGAAGACGATTATTGACTAACAGTGAAGACCATTTGACATTTGAAAATCTCGATGTGCAAAGTGAAAGCAGCGGGTTAACAGTGATCAGAAAGTGAATTTAAAATTGTTTGGAAACAACGAAAACACTAAATCAGTCACAATTACACCAGAGTAACAATCAAAGCATGATATTTGCGATATAAAAGTTACTAAGAATAAACAATTTCCTAATGAAATGATAATAGTTGGTCAAGTTGAACAAAGCAAGGGAATGAGAAAAGGAAAGTCGAGATTGAAAAAATGCGTTTTACTTTAGTTTTAAAACAATGGTCATTGTAAAACGGTAATTGTTTGATTGAACTATGCTGTGATTGGTTAATTGAATCAAGTTTAGGAATGAAATTTGAGGTCAATTTGGAAAGTTGTGTAAATGGTTCCAATGATAATAATGTTAGTAGACTGTTAATAAGCATTGAACATTGTTTGAATGAGACAAATGATAGTAACAAAGTTTACAAATTGATTAATGACAATTGGCTAATCAATAAGGTGCAATATTAGCCAAGTGTATTAAGCTGATTGAAAGGCTGAATCCAAGTGTAAATGATTATAAATGTTAAATATAAATATTTAATGCTAATGAATGGAGAAAGGGTTAAGAATGGTAACAATGGGAAAACTGGTTAATAGTTAACAGCATGAGAGGAGAAGAATTAAAGAGTTAAACGAAAGTGTTTGATGGTTGACAAGTGTTGTGATTATGATGTGACCGGTAAATTAATTTATCCTTAATTACCTGGTTAACCTTCTATACCAAGAATCGAAGGGAAATAACTTGAAGTCAATTTTCTCATTGTTACGATAAAAATGTATCTTCTTATGAATCTCTTTTTTCTGTCGTCAGGTCAATAATATGTATCAAAGTTACTCAGATTGGACAGAGAGACAAATGATGGGAACAAATTCAGGTAATTTAGCTAATTGAATGGCATTAGGATGGTGATGAGGTAAAAGGGAAGAATTGAAAGTTTCAAGGCAAAGTGAATGTTGACTTTTAAATTGTGCTACAGCTTTCAGTTAAGGTATAACAATAATTGTGTTTAACGTTATTAAATTAACTGATAAATGGATATATATAGTTGTGTATTTATGGGTGAAAGTGAAATGATGTATAACGAAAGGATGAAGATGAAACAAAAATGAAGTAAAGCACATCAGTAACGATAATAAATTGGTTGCTGTAGCACGCATAAGAAGGTATCGGGTGAATTGTAAAAAATTTGATAACTAAATAGTTAACCAAGGTCGCTATGAATTACACCAATTAAGTAATAATTTAACATCTTTTTGATTGTGATTTAACTTGTTGATTGGTGTGATAATTGATTAACAATTTATAATTAATAGTAACAGGATGAGCAATCGATCTGTTCGTGTTTTAGTGCGAGAACAAGATTGAGGTGGAAAAGCTCAACTTAACCTAAACCGAGTTAACAGATTATTTTGCTTGGTAAATGAAGAAGGGAATACAAACACACTTGGTTGGTAAAGAAACACTGAAATTTTGAGTATGAATTTTAGATTGTTAATTATACACGGAAAGTAATTATTGATTGTGAATATGAATTTGTGTTAGTAAATTGAATGGGGATTGAAAAGGTGAAAAAAGGAATTGTATGGCAAGAGTTAATGAAAATGTTTGGGTTGCACAGGAAAATGGGAAAATTAACAGAAAAGTATCAGAGATATTAGTCTCTTTCTTTGTCTCTTACCTGAATTTTTCATGATCCAGGGAACTTGTCAAAGTAATTTGACTCTGTGTCACAGGTTGATGATGAATGGGCATGATTGGTTGATTAGAATATAATAATTAAAATGTTGAAAGGTTGGTAGCAACAGGTTGGTGTAGCAACAAATCACACAATTGGTTAGGTTAAAGAAAAGTTCAATCTCCTGGTCTTTTCTCGTCTGGCCAATGGGTTATTGACAAAAGGTTGTAATGACTGTTGATGTCGTTTGGTTTCTCTTCACAATCTTGCTTGTCTCATAAATCGAAGTAATGGTCAGTAAAGAAGAGTAGGTTGAACAAGTAGCCAAACCAAGAAGAGATAAAGAATAAGAATGCTTAAAGGAAGAATAAACTTTCACTTCTCAAGATAACCTAAAGTCCATTTGAATGTTGAATGAAGAGGACGCAAAAATGATATAAAGGCAACCCAGCAAGACACTTCTTTGATCTAAAAATTAAATTAAAAATGGAATCGCATTAGTCTATTTTAAAGATAAATAGATGACAGGGAAAGTAACAGTAAAAAGCAGAGTAAAATACAGATAAATGTAAATAAAGAAACAACAATAACATTGATGGCGAGTCTAACCAAAATGGGTGACACACTGGTTGACAAAGGCTAATTATCAGTTGGAAAATATTTACAGTGAAAATGGATCAACAAAGGTAAATAAAAGGAGTAGATTGAATGTCATACAGTCAAGAATCATTAATGGTAAGAGTCGATTAAGTGAAATGGAAAGTTAATTGAAAAAATTAAATAAAACATAAGGTAAACTTACATAGAAAGGGATAAGCCAAAAGGAGTAAAAGTTTGCTTTCCGTTTTCACCAATTTTCAAAAGTCGTTTTCACTCCAAGTTAACAGATCATTAACAGTTGCAACGGCATCTAAAGTTAACAATCAACTGCAATCAATTTAACGATTCTCGATTAGTTTTACTCATTTTTTTTCTACTCTGAAGTTGACTTATTTTCGTTTCGACGAACTTGCAAAACTCCTTTTTCGGTCCCAAAAATTTGACTACAGAGTCATCTAGTGATTAATTTTGGCTACACTTTACCGCTATACTTTTTTCGGATATGGCGACATCTGTTGGTAATTTTTCAGCCGGTGACGGAATGAACTTTGGGGGAAGAAAGGTGAGGGATAAAGTGTATTATCCAATCAGCAGTTGCCACACCACAGAGATTCAGCATTTGGATGCTGATTTTTCTGCTTCTATTTAATTCTATTTAATGCTATTTAACTACAATTAACTTTTTCCTTAATACTGATTTTTGTTTCATTCAGTATTCAATTTGTTAATTCATTTTCTTACTTACTAAATTATCTTATTGTTAGTTTGCTGTTTTATATCTTTTAAGATTTTTGTTAACTTATTTATTGGACTGTCTTGCATTTTTACAGCTCTGTGTCAATTTGTGTCCAAAAATGAGGTTATTCAATTTATTCTGGTTCTTTCTGGTCTCGTTGTCACTTTTTGGTCAAGGTATGTTTCTCTTTTTAAAATTTTCCTTTAATGGTTAACCTTATGTCCATATTCATTAATTCCTCTATATCCATTAATTTCACCGAGATTTTTCATGGTTTTTTATGCGTATTATGACCAATGTTTATTCAGAACTTTATCTCAAAACATTATGTCGAATATAATTTCATGAACTTTCTTTGGACAATATGCTTTGGGTTACATTTGTATTCATTACAAATTTCATTGATGGTTCTTAATTTAATGTTTTACGTTTTCTTGCTTTGATTTCAATTCCTCACAGGTCATGGATTGGCTGTCATGTCAATCGATCTTGGCACCGAGTCTCTCAAAATAGCTATTGTGTCACCTGGTAAACCAATGGAGATTATACTAAATACAGACTCTCAGAGAAAGACTCCATTAGCTGTAGCTTTTCGGGATGGTGACAGGTTATTTGGAGAAGCAGCGCTATCAACGGTATGCAATTTCCAAATTCATTGAGGTCTAAATCTTTATCATTTCTGATCAATATTTATTATTTTTTGTTTTCTTAGGCTGTGAGATTCCCTGAGAAAGTCTTTACTCATTTCTTGGATTTGATTGGGAAAAATTACGATTCTCCAGCTGTTAAATTATTTAAAACTCGTTTCCCTTACCACAACATGACCAAAGATCCTGAAAAGTCCACTGTAATATTACATCATCCTGATGGTATGACCTTCACCCCAGAGGAAATTTTAGCCATGGTTCTGCATAAAGCAAAAAGTGATGCTGAAATTGCTGCAGGAGATAAGCAATCCATTAAAGATGCTGTGATCACTGTTCCTCCCTATTTTTCTCAAGCGGAACGACGTTCTCTCACACGTAGCGTACAAATGGCTGGGTTGAAAGTTCTTCAATTAATGAATACCAATACTGCTGTTGCTCTCAACTATGGAGCCTTCAGACGTAAAGATTTCAATGAAAGTAATCCCAATTTTGTTCTCTTTTATGAAATGGGAGCTTCATCAACTGTTGCTACTGTAGTTGCTTATCAAACGGTCAAAACAAAAGAAAGAGGTTTTGTTGAATCAAATCCACAACTAACCATCAAAGGAGTTGGATTCGACCGAAATTTGGGAGGTCTTGAAATGCAAATTCGTCTTAGAGATTATCTGGCTAAATTGTTTGTTGAACAGACAAAAAATAAATATCCAGTCCAATCAAATAAGCGTGCCATGGCAAAACTTTTCAAGGAAGCAGGTCGTCTCAAGAAAGTTCTCTCTGCCAACACTGAACACGTAGCTCAAGTTGAGAATGTATTGAATGATATTGATCTTAAGGCTCCTGTAAAACGCACTGACTTCGAGGATCTTTGTTCTGATCTTCTTGGAGACCGTCTCACTAAACCAGTTATGGTTGCTCTTGAGTCAGCTGGCTTGACAATGCAAGAAGTCGATCAAGTAATTTTATTCGGTGGAAATACTCGTGTTCCTAGAGTGCAACAAGCTCTTTTAGATTATTTTAAAATTAATGAGTTAGGTAAAAGTGTCAATGCAGATGAAGCTGCTGCCCTTGGTGGTGCCTATCAAGCTGCTCATCTCAGCAAAGGATTTAAAGTGAAAACTTTCATTGTTAAAGATGCTAATCTATACCCAATACAAGTTGATTTTTCACGAGAAATTGTTGGAGAAGATGGATCCAAAAAGACTCGACTCATGCAAAGAGTTTTATTTACCCGCAATAACTTGTATCCTACTAAAAAAGTATTAACATTCAGTCGACATTCTGACGACTTTGAATTCTTCATTAATTATGGTGATTTGCAGAGCTTCTTTTCTGAGGAAGACATTGCTAACATCGGCTCTTTGAACATAACCAAAATACAAGTTAAAGGTGTGACCGAAGCCATGGCTAAACATAAAGATGAAAATAAAGAGTACAAAGGTATCAGAGCTCATTTCCGTATGGATGAAAGCGGAATCTTGAACATGGAAAACGTTGAAACTGTTTTTGAGGCTAAAATAGAGGAACCCATTGAGGCAGAAAAGGGTAATGTTGTTGGAGATGCTTTTGCCAAATTTGGCAACACAATAAGCAAGCTTTTCGGTGGTGGAGGATCAGAAGAAGCAGTACCAACAACTGGTGAAGAGAAACCTGAAGAACCTTCTAAAGAATCTGTTGATCAGTCAACGAATGAGTCAACCAATGGAGTTAATGGCACTGATAGCTCATCAAAGGCTTCACCTAATGTGACAGAAAAACAGGATCAAGCTGCAGCCCAAAATGTATCAGCAGAAAGTTCAACACCAGTAAAAACTGAGGTTAAAATCAAAACTATTAAGGAACCAGTGATTGCTGAAAAGACTGATTTAGACTTGCCTCCTCTCGACGACAGTGAGATTAACTGGTCGATCAAAAAGTTGCAGGACTTGATTGCTAAAGACGAAGAGAAACACAAACGAGATGGAATGAAGAACAGTCTTGAATCTTTCATTACCGAAACAAAGATGAGACTTTACGAGAATGAATATGAGTCAGCTTCTACTCAAGAGGAACGAGAAAAGATTTTAAAAGCTTTGGAAACCACATCGGAATGGTTAGAGACCGAGGCTGATAGTGCTGATTCTAAGACTATCGAAGAAAAATTGTTCAGTCTGATGAAAACAGCGCGTGACGTTTTCGAAAGAGTTAAAGAACACAAAGAACGCCCAGAAGCTTTAAAAGCATTAAATGAAATACTTAACATAAGTCGCATGTTTTATGAAGGTGCTCTTAATACATCAGCCGAAGATCAAATATTCACTGAAGTTGAAATAACAACTCTTGGTAAACTAGTCAAGGAGACTGAAGTTTGGTTAGGAGAAGCAGTTTCTGAACAAGAAAGGATTCCCAGATTTGAAACACCAAAACTTTTAGTTCGAAATATTCAGGAGAAAATTGTGACACTTGATCGAGAGGTCAAATATCTAATCAACAAAGCACGAACAACTCCACCAAAACCTAAGACAACTGACGATACAGCTAAACCAACTGAAAATGAAGCTGATAGTTCCAGCGAAGGTGAACCAAACGATGAAACTATTAATATGGATCAAGCTGCGGAAGATAATATTGTTAATGAAGTTGAAACTGATAGCAAAATTAAATCTGATAAGCCATCTCAGAAGGCCGAATCTTCAGCTGAACAATCTACAACAGAGAAACCTCTAGAATTAAGTTCGAATGACGCTGACCAACAACCACAACATTCCCAGAAACCTAAACCAACGGCCACTGTAGATGAACCACATACAGAGCTGTAACCTTTAATATCATTTGTAATTAATTATTTAGGAATCAAATTTGCAATTAATTTATATAATAATATACATTAATGTTTTCCTATTCAAACGAAACAAAAAATTAACCAAAGCGTTTACATTTTTTTTTCTTTTCCTACTGTTTTCGCTTTCAAAAAGAAACAATGTAAAAAAGATTTTTTTATAATTCCATTTTATCAAGATTCCTCATTCTCTTCTTTTACAGTTTCCTCTTCATTCTCATTTCGGTTTTTCTTATCCTTTTTTCGTTTCTTCTTTTTCTTTCCCTTTGTTTTGCTCTTTTCTTTTCCACTAACGCGTAAGAAGTCAACACTTGGTGCTCTTAAACGTGTCATATTTTTGGCTATCCAGCGAGTATAAATGATCATAACGCCAGCAATCGCAGCAATTACATTAACAAAGATAATCAGGATTCTCCAAAAGTGCATCCAATCGGTTATTTGAGTGAGAAAAAAGGATTTGCCATTTTCTGGATAATCAACCAATTTTTCATCAACTGGTGACCGAGGGATAAGAAGTAGAAATGTTGTTATACAGGTTGATACCAACAGAATCAATGGACCCAATGATCTAATCAGATTGAATAAGAAAAATAAAAAAGATTGAAACGATGAAATCATTGAAGAGGAATATAAAAATGTCATCTTACGTGTAAGGGGCTTTAGCTCTTCCAGTTAACAGCCAGACAAAAATCGAGATGGACCAAAGGAGACACAATAAAAATAGTCCCGAACCGATTCCAAGTATTCGCATTTCGAGACAGTTATCATTTATCCATTTATCTGTTAGTTGATTAAACAAATAAAGTCGTATTTTCATTAATTTTCACTGCGAGTACAAATTTTTGTTTGGCTCAAGCAAATGGCCATTGTCATGGAAACATTTGTTGTCTCTTCTCGTTTGATATTTCATTACAAAATCGGACTTGTTGCTTCATTTTATTGATCGACTACCAGACTTCATAATCATCTGGCACTATTTTGGATGACAAAATTCATTATTTCGACTCACTGATTTTCCAGCAATTGATTTGGAATGCGAATTTTCAACGTCTCATTGGTTTATCCAACTGTATAACTAATTCTCTGGAAAATTTACATATTTCTTTATTAGAGACCAAAATTACCAAAACAAAGCAATTCCATATTAGGTGAATCCTTTAATCTGAGCTGGGAAGCGTTAATTCAACAATTTTGACAAAAGCTAAGCGCAATCATCACCATCTAGTCAATCTCATTTCTACCTTTCTCGGTTAATTAGTTGATTATTAGATGAGTAGTAATCAAACTTTTACGCAAAAATAGCCCAAATCAAGTTAAAGCAACGGCCATCTGGAGCACTTTCATAATAAATTGAAATGAAAAACTGAAATCTATTCAAGACAATTAAACATTAATCAACTAGTTTTTCGCAACAATTATTCAACTATATTTGTAAACCTAATTTAGCAATCTCCCTCAATTGATCAATTGATTTTTATTTAATTGTTTACTACTTTTGGCCAAATAAAGCATGAAAAAAAACGATTAACCAACAGTTCAGCTCAATTTTGTTTATTTAACTCATTTGATTGAAACAAAAATTCAATCTAAATTAAAGTCTTACAAAACTAATAGTTTATACAATTCAATGTTTTACAAATAATTTTGTTAATTTACTTTTATAATGAAGATAGCTGCAAGCTAATTGCCATTTGTGTTAAAATACAATTAAAAAAACACTTAAATTTATAAATTGATTTATTGATGTTCATTGAATGTTTACAATCTGAATAGCACTTCATAGGCTTTGAGTTGAGTTTAACTAATGTTGTAAATTAATACATTAATTAATGCCTAATGTTTAAACAGGTTTCTTAGCTTTTCTCAACAACAATTAGTTAATTTAAATTGCATTTTTTTTCTACTTTATGGCTCTTAATTTTTATATTCATTTAAAATAAGCTATGTTACCTTTGAACATTACAATTGTAAAGTTGTTACTAAAAAGACGCAACAATCACATTTATACACAAATGAGCAAAACTGGGTAAAAATATATTCTGTTCACACTTAGACTCTAATGATTTGTAGCGACATACAAACTGAATCAATTTGTGCGATTAAAAACCTTCTCTGGGAAACAGTTTTCGAGAAAATCGAGTTTAAAGCTGTATCTTCGATGCATCTTCTACCAATAATAGAAGCAGATTTTTGCATGAAATTCATTTTGCTTATGTAACTTTTGATAGTCAACCAAAAAATGCATTCATTTTGTGAAATAAAATTTTCTATCTTCAGTACAACAGATTAGCTCGACTTGTAGAGAAAGCGACCGCATTCTATGACCATAAGAGTTAGAGAACTGGAACTTATTATTGAAGCACAAAAATTGTTTGTACACATCATGCGTCAAATACTTTTTTCGATTAAACGATTATTCTCTTGATTTTAACCGTTATTCTTAAAACTTTGACCCTCAATATTTCGAGAATGGCATCCCATACTATCCTCATTCTTTCACCAATTTAATCCTTTACTGATTAATAACGCAATTTGATTCAAAAACTTTCTATTAGCGCATTTGGGTCATGATTTTGGGTGTAAATGTAAAAGCAAACAGCATAAGTAACGAAACAAACTAATCTCAACCCATTTCTTGCTAAATAAACCATTTTTCTGGTTAAACTTACAAATGAATTGCAAAGAATGCTGCCAAAGGCTCGAACATTTGAGTTAAGAGTTGAGACTTTGCAGGTTTGTAGGGACATGAAAACTAACTCATTTGGTGCTATTAAATAATTCGTCCGATACATACTTTTGGATAAAATCGTGGTCAAAGTTGAAACTTCGATCAGCTTTTGTTCGGCTACGAAAGCAGATTTTTTCATGAGCCCCTATTTTACGGATATGAATTTAGATGATGAACCAGAAAATGAGAAAATTTTGAGAAATAAACTTTTCCATTTCCTGTAAAGCACATAAGTTCGATTTGCATTTAAACCGATCTTTTTCTGTGACCGTAAAAGTTAAAGATCTGAAACTCATAATCATTAAATAAAAATTGTTTGCACACACCATGGCTTATATATTTTCCTCAATTTATCAATAATTCACTCTATTTTGGCCATAGGACTAAATAACTTCAAGTCTCGATATTTCGAGAATGGCCTAAGCTACAATCATTATTCTTTGAAAAATCATTAGATTTGATTATGAGCTATATTATCTTGAAGTATGAAATTATTCAAGATCGCACGTAAAAAGTTATAGCCCTTTATTAACTAAGCTGTCAGATTGGAAACTTGGTTATTAAAGTTAAATGGTTACTTAAACACAATTTTATATGTTAGAAGATTACTCATTATTAAATAAATTTTTACGGCATCAAGTCATATCATATTATAGCCCATGACAAAATCTAGTGTTAGATCTAAGAATGGAGATCGTACGTGCTATCATTATCGAAATATCGATGCACAAAGTTTTCAGGCCAATGGCCAAAATCAAGAGAACTGTTGTTGAATCGAAAAAAGTATTTGACGCATGATGTGCACAAGCAAATTTCATGGACCAATATTAAGTTTGAGGTCTCTAACTCTTATAGTCACAGAATAAATTCGGTTTAACTACAAATCGAACTGACCTGATTTAAAGGAAACGGAAAGTTTTATTTCACAAAATAAATGCATTTTTCAGTTGACAATAAGCATTTACATCAGCAGAATGAATTTCATAAGAAAGTCTAGTCAAACAACTGCACAAAAGGTGATCGAAGTTTCAACTTTAAACTCGATTTCCTCGAAAACTGTAAATCAAAGAAACTTTTAAACCCCATGAAAGGACTCAGTTTTCATTTCCTAACAATCTAAAATAGTCTAAATTTGAAAGGAATTTATTGTTACCCGCTTTTGCCCATTTTTCTTTCAGTGTTTTGTCTATTTGTGCACAAAAGTGATTGTTGTGTCTTTTTAGCAACAATTCATTGTAACATTGCTTATTATAGCTTCTTAATTGGACTTATGTTATTGGAATTGTTTGTACTTTATTGTTTTCAAATTCACTGTTATGATCGTGTACAATTGAGCTTTAAAGAGTTTCTTTTTTGTTAAGGCTGGTACTTGATGCTTTGGTACAGAACTAGAGGTTTTCATTATAAATTTTATGGTAAATATCTTTGCAAACTGTTAATTGAATTCAGTTGAAGCGTTGTGTAACCTGACCACTGTGTTAATTGTCCAGGATTCATCGCGTTTACGTCTTCGTCTTCCAGCAACAATAGAGCTTGTGAATTGAGGTGTTTGGATGAATCCAGGTTGATATGGATAACTTGGCTGAAATCCGCCGATCGGTGATCCAAGTGACTGTTGGTGAGACTTGAGGAGCAACGAGAATGGCAAAAACATTGATATGATGAGACCAAAGAAACCAGCGATTGTTAAGATAACCAGAAAAAGGGTCAACTCATCTTGTTGGTCGAGTCCAGGATCGAGTGGTCTTTGATCAAAAGGCCTTCTCCGAGGTAAAATGTTGAATGGACTGAGGCTTGTTGGTGATGGATAAGGCGATGATTCCAATGGTTGAGGTGCAGATGTAAATGGCAGCAATGAAAATGTTTTTGGAGGTGGAGGTGGTGGAGGTGGCAACCAATCTGGTAAACTCGGATCTCGATATTCATAATCGTTTGATGCTGAAGGATTCATTGATGAGGTTCCACCTTCACTGTCCATCATTTCAATATGATTTATTGTGGCTGATGATTGAATTGAGTCTTGAATGGTTGAACTCGATGATGATTGAGACAATCTCTTATTGTGAATATTGGAACTGATGAAATACCATAAAATCTTCAACAACTTTTCCACACTTGGATTGATTTGGATTTTATAAGTTTTTAAGTTATTATTTTGACCATTCAACTTGGATTTCGAAGTCAATGGATACTTTTGAACAACTGCTGAGATCTTGTGTTGTTGAACATTCATCAAGTAAACAATTAAAATTAACATTATTGTAGACATAATGAATTAACTCACAACTGTTACACAAACGATTGTTTTAAGTACATGAGTTTACTATACATTTGGATAGTCAACTCTTAACCTCACAATTTCATCGTTAAACATAGTTTCAAGTTAGTCTTGAAAATAAATGAATCAACTATCAAAACTTCTTTCTTTTTTGACTTTTACTATTGAAATAATTTAACAGATCAGATATCATTAACAATAGCGATCATCTAAATACATAATTATCTCTGAATTTAACAGCAATCAGCATCCAAATGCAACCAATAATATCGTGAAATAACATTTTCCATACGCTTTGTTGATTATAAGTGCTTTCCTGAAGAGAACATAAATGAACGGTTCGAGTGTTTCAAACGTTGATAACTTTTGCAAACCATTCATAATCATGAAGTATAAAATAAGTAAGAGTTTTGTATGAAAATTATGATTTAATTTCAAGAGAACCAATTATTGTAGCAAATTTTTGAACAGAATTAGATTCATTTTGCAATTTGAGGGAAATGTGGTGTATCCGGAAACCTTTTGATGAAACAGGAAAATAATTATTATGACAATAATGAGCCTCTAGGTAGTAACAAATACAGAAGCAACGCAATATGGCAGTGAAAAAGGACACAAAAGCAATATTTGTCCAATCATAGTTTCTTAATAAGATTCACTATACAAATTACAACGATTGTTCATGATTTTGTATTAGTAACAAGCTAAACAGCTCAGTAGTCGATGTTTCGATCATCAAAAATACTTTTATTGTAGTTACACAAAATGCATCAAAAATCTTGTCACTGTAGTTTGCAAGCAATTCAGAATGAAAAATTCAAACGCGAATTCAAATTCGACTGCAGAATCTCCGATTAATCATGTAAATCACATAATCAAAACTAAGTCTATTAACTATTGTAAATATAATGCTTTGTAATGAAAATATTTAAAGAGCATTTCTAATGTTCAATGATTTTGGTACAGAGTTAGTTTTGAAATGTAAGTTATCTCAATCAATCAGTATTGGATTAACGCGAAATGAAATAAACACATTTTTTGATGACAATAATAATTATTTTAATATTAATATTGATTAAAGAAGCCTAAAGGGTGACAGATTTTTGCTTGTGAAGTTGGGAAACACAGGAGAGAAAAGAAAGAAAAGAACAAAAATTTGTGAGTTTTTTTCCAAAACTGGTCTCAACTAATGAGATTTCTTGTATTTTCTTCCAATGGTTCTGAGGTTATTTTCATTCTTTAACTAGAACCATGAACTTGGCCATTTCCAAATGGTGATCACTTTAATGAACTCATTCAACTTCGCTGCTGAATCTTACTTTTTCTCGTCAAACATTTCGCTTATTTACGTTTCTTTTTGTACCTTTTTTTCGTTCAACTTGAAGATATTCTTTACTTTTCCATTTTTCTCTCTTACGAATTTGCTGTTGTCCATTCATCTGAGCAAGTTAGATGTTCATCTAGTGGTTAATTGTGATGTTAAATGAGAAGAGAAAAAGGGTTGAAAAATGGTAATTTTGAAGATGGTTGTAATGAGGAAAGTATCCAGAACCAGAAATATGATGATCAAGTGAAGGTGCGAAAGTGGTTCTAATGATGTGCGTTTTGTTGTTTTCTCCCTTTTCTTGTTCAATTATCATTCTCATGAAAATTCAATTGAAAATTTGACACAAAATTGTTCTAAAATCCACAACTTGCATGGTTAACAAAGATGATAAGCTTTTTCAATTGAAAAGCAGTTGTCTTCAGGTGAAAGTAAACAGCCAATGATGAGATAAAAGTGAGGTCAACATGAATGGTGAAGATGTTGTTGAAGATGTCGATGATTATGATGATTGTAATGGTAACAATAATCTCAATGGTTAAATTGACACAGCAAGTGAGGAAAAGGTTTCAATTGAAGCTTTGATGAAAGATGTTAACTGTTGCTGAGTAATCCATTAAATCCATGTCCAATGAATGATTACAAACTTATTGCTGGTGTTGGTTGATACATCGGTAATCATCTCATTACAAAATTCAATTTGCATGAAAATTGATGGCGAAATGAGTGTTTTTTTCATGAAAAGTAAACAAAAAAGGCTTATAAAGAAACATTGAAGGAAAATAATAATAAACAAAACAAGGAATGAGAAAAGAGGGATTTTCAGTTGAGTGAGAAAAGGGTTTGACTTGACAGAGCTAAAGATGAGTTTAATGACAAAGTGTTTGAAATGATTAGAAAGGAAAGTTGACAATTGAATTTAAATAAGTTTCGATAAGCACTTAAATTGTTGTAAAGATGGCGATAAAAGATGAAGGAAAGATGTTTTGAGGTTGACATCACAGACAAGTGAACAAAGATTTTAGCTAGGAAATAAGGAAGAAGAAGAAGAAGAAAAAAGGATTTCAAGAAATGAAAAGGTTTGAAAAGGCATGAAAAAATGGATATGAATTTGCATGGGATCAAGAAGGGGTTAATTACAAGTTGAAAGCCCATGCTAATAAAATAAAAACTACTTTGTAATTTGAAATAATCATAATTATGTTAATTTTTTTGCTGTAGATTTGTTTTTGCTTTTGTCTTTTTTTGTGTTCAAATTAATTTTCAAAATGTTGATTTTTGCTGTCGTTTTGTTGTTGGTTTTGTGCTAAAACAATATCTTTTTTTTGTTGTATCATTATTTACGTATTTATATATTTATAATTGTTGATGATGCAAAACCTCGATTATTTTACAATTGATTTCAATTTAAATTTTGCGTTAATTGGTAGATAGATTAACCTTGGTAATAATGTTAATCATTTATGAAAATAATTGTGCTTTCGGCTGTGACAACAGAGACTAATTATGAAAGTAATCAACTAGAGAAGGATAGAGAAATCAAGTTTCAAGAAAACTTAACTAGTAATTAGTTGATTAATTAATCATCCAATAGTAGACTAATAGATTGATACAAAAGAAAATGTTCATTTCATTTAGTGATGGGCAGCACAATGAAAGGTAATTATGAACATGGTCAACTCAGTAAAAAAATGATAATAAATTATGAAATAATCGAGGTTTTGCAGTTGAAATATTGTTATCGTTTCTCTCTCGCTCTCTCGCTCTTCCTCTGAACTGGTAATGATGATGATGATGATGAGGTTGATGGATGATGATTTGAAAATCCTAGTTGTAAAGCCAAAAAGAAGATTGAATTTTCCACTTTTTACTTGAGATCAAGTTTGTAGGTAAATCTTAAACAGCCAATGCACAAATCCTTTGCTTGTCATTCCATAAGTTAATCTATGTTTGACTTATTGATTTTCACAATTTGTTTATTTTTTTGTTAACACATTAGTTGAATTTGAAAATTTTGTTAAGCCTAATTTGAATAAAGTTTTAGGAAGTGTAAAGAGATAAGGATTAAATGATGATGATGATGATTGGTGGTGGTGGTGGTGGCGATCATGATGATTGGGTGAAAACATTAAGAGATTTAAGACAGGAGAACATGAAAATTATTTTGTAAAAATGGAGGATAAATGATGACAATTAAGTGAGTTTGGATGAGTGTTTGTTTTTTGTATGAGGTTGTTTTGTAACTTGTTTTGTTGTTTTGGTGGTTAATCGCAATCAAATCTCACAAATCCTTTCCTTGTTTCCTATTGAGAAGGCCTTTCGTTGGCAATATCACAATTATTTCATCTTAATTCAACTAATTTTGTTTTGCAATTAGTTGAATTATATCCTTTAAAACATCCTAAAATTGAAAAATAATATAACTAAGGAAGAGGAGAGAGGGAGAAAGAAGGTAGAGAAATAGAAAGAGAAGATGAGAGATGAGATGACAATGAGAGGTAATTTTTGCTCTCAAATTTTGTGTTTCTTTTTGCTTTGGCTTGAGAGTCAAGTGGGTGAAGTTACGAGAATTTTGAAGCTTATCAATAGTCGATTCATTTTCCACAATATTCATTCAATTGATTGACAAGTAGATTCATCTTTTTTCTTGAATAATATTATTTCTTCAGTTTTCTCATCCTCTTAGAATCTTTGTTTTTTCTGGTAAATTCTGCTTTTCTTTGCTCTTTTGTTGCTTTTGTTGTTTTTGTTGATGATAATGATTGGGATGATAATGTTGCTTGAAAATCCACCTTTGATTCAACTTGTTTTTCATTTTCTCTGCTTGTTACTTTTTCGTCTTCATCGTTTCTCTCAACGAGCAATTTCAATTATGGTTGGCATTATTATCATATCTATTAATAAATTAAACTGGTCTTGAGTTTGATTGTGATTTTTTGTTTGCTTTGTTGGTTTCCATCGTTTTGTTGTGTTTGAGTTTAGGTGAACCAGAAAAAATATGCTTTGTACAATCGCTTTTTGTTAACTAGTTTGAAAATCAAGAAAATGTTGCGTCTTTGTAATGGTAGCTTTTTTGCGTCATTAATTTGAAAATTGAAAGAGTTATCATTTGAATTTAAATTTATAATTAGAATGACATTAATAGAAATCATATTAATAATTATATCATTAATAATAATGGGATTGTAATCAGTTGATTGAAAGAGTGGTCGAGATGTTGAAGTTATCAGTTTTTCATCTGTGTTTTCATGCCTCTTGTTTTGTATCACGTTTGTAATTCATTAATATTAAAGTGTTTTTTTTTTCATTAATAAATGTTTAGCAGTTTCGGACTATCATTTGTTCAACTCTTTCGTCTTTTCAATCTACAATCGATCATCGTTATCATCGGGAAATCCTAATTTCTGGTAACCCATAAAATGGAGGCGAAATTGTTTACATGTCGTCATATTTTGTGGTTCCATTAGCTTCAAATAATTCCAACTGAAGAGCAAATTTAGAGAAATCGTTATCACAGTCACGCAAATCTTCCAAGGTAGTTTCTAAATCATCACTCATCGGGATTGGACCAGAAATTGTATCATCAATAGTGTGTCGAACCTCGAATGTATTGAGAAGACCATTTGGATGATGATCATGTTGCTCTTGATGATAATGACCAGGATGGTTAACAGTTAACTCAATATCATCTGCTCCAATGACCGTCTCTCCGACTGACCAGTCTTTTGATTGTAAACCAGAAACCATAACATCTTGGCCACTTTCAAGAAAATTGCTACTTGGATTGCTTGAAGGTGAACTGGTTGAAGAAGGTTCAACAGCAAGTGAGCCCAATGAGGTTTCCTCTTCAACCAGTTTCAATCTGGCTGAACCAGAGGAAGGAGATGAATTGCTTCCAGAGTTATTGGTTGAAGGATGATTGCTGTTGCTGATATTACTATTGTTGCTGTTTAAAGTGTTGGACGGTGAAGTTGGAGGAAAGGAAAAATTTGGATTACAAAGTGGTGTTGGAGGGTAAGATTTAGATAGAGTCGAGAAATCACGTTCAGGAGAATTAAGATCAGCTGGTGAGCATAAAGATGATGACGGAGTGAAACTGTTGTGTTCCAATGGAGATGAGCCATTGTAAAGTTTACCTAAATGCTGAATTGGAACTGAATGACATCTGTTCAAAACAGGCCTGTTTCCGTGGTTAGGTGAATGATGGTTACTGATTGAATTACCAGTTACAGATGAAGTATCGCTATTTTCACCTGAATCGGTTAAATTGTGGTTGTTGTTGTTGTTGTTGGCATTTGTTGAAAGCAACGATTCAATGAAAGAGCTGCCTTTTAATAGATTTTGAACTTCTTTGGAATGAGAATCATTGAAGGAAAAATTGTTGCTACCATTATTGGCTATGGTAGCATAGGGACTTGAGAAATGACGTTGCCTCATAACTGGGCCAACATTGGGTCCATTTATTAAACCATTAGAGCCACAGTTTGCATCATGGTTTCCATGATAACCAGATAAAAGGAATCTCGAATTGCTGGTTAACCAATCTCTCGAAGTAAAACATGAATCCATAAAACAAGAGTCACCATTGGAGGAAGAAGCAATATCAATTGATGTTAAATCTGATGTTGACATGTCACCGGAAATGAGGATACCTGATGGTGAGAGAGGCTCCGATTTGGGTGATACAGGGGTTCCTATGCTGGAGACACCAGATGTTGTTGTGGTACCAGTTGTGGTACTTGATTGGTTTCGAGTTCGGTGTTTAGTTTCACCAAAGGCTGCATTGATACTGGCCAATGTTGCCCCCTGACCATTATTACCATTTGATGAAAATAGTAAATCATTGGCATTGTAAGAGACAACCATGGGTGAAACTGAAGAGCTACGCATTGAAAAGGTTCCTCCAAGAGAGGAAGGTAAAGTGGTGTAAGGATTTCCAGGACCAGAACTGTGTCTTGCACGGTTAACCAAATTTGACCTGGCATGGATAGAGTGTAGGTGTGAGTAACAATTGCCAATAGTTCTCATACGTCCACTTAAAGGCACCGGGGTTGATTGAGGTGAAATAAAGGGAGAAGAAGAGATTGATGAAAGACCGGAATCAATAACAGGATAAGGTGTTGCCCGTAATCCAGAGTAACCACTTTGACCACTATCATGACGTGAACGGGACAATGGAATAGGTGTACCGCGTGGAGAAACAAAAGGTGAATTAGCCGAACTTGGAGGTTGAGAGAGACCAACACCAATTGAGCGTTGGTTTGAAGAGAAAGCGGGCGGTGAATGTTGCTGATGTTGACCATTGTTACCAATGCCTGTAGAGTTTCCTGTTGTTTCGCTTGTTGTTACCGTTGAAGAGGAGGGTGAAGATGAAGAAGAGCAAGAGTTGGCCACATTGGTGCCATTACCATTAACATAGCTGCCGATTGCACTGTTTTCAGGAATAGTTGGTGTGATTCGCAAGGAAATGGGCTGAAAATTAAATGCTTGACGCCGAGTGTTTGGGCTAGCTGGGACTGAAGGTACTTGTGTCTGCATGTTACAATAATCCATCGAGGAAACCATATTATTGACATCATTAACCATGTTCATGTTGTTGTCAATTGAATTTAACGATTCATTTGAAACAATTACACCATCCGAATCAGATAGACTTGAAACCAACATGGGGCTATTACATTGGTTAGAAAGTGATTTTTTAGCTTCAATCGAGAATGATTTGTCTGTTGAACAAATCATGGCTTCTTTATCATTGGACAAATGATACTTGGTGACATTTTCCTCCAATTTAATATCATTATCAACCAAATTGTGTGTTGCCTCATCATAACTGACAATCTGTTGCTCCATAATTTCATGATTATTGATAACGTTAATGTTGGAAATATTGTTATTCAGTTCATTACGAGGTTGATTAACTTGATGAAGATGGTGGCCATGATTAACATGATTGTTGTTATTAATAATGACATTAGTACCATTGTTGGTTGAATGGTTGCCAGCAATAATATCCGATGGTATTGTTGATGGAAGCGAAGTCAGGCCAACATTTGAATTGCTCTTTGAATTGGGTAAATTTTTCTCCAACAATCTTCTCAATTGAGATAAAGTGGATGGATCACAATGTTCATAGGAATCCATCAAGGAAGATGATGAGGCACCATGTTGTTCATTCAGATCATCATTTAAGGCATCACATTCAAGCTCTTGCAATTTAATGCACATTTCAGACGATGTTGACGATTTATTTTTACTTTTATCATTATTATTACTATTACTATTAATATCATTATTGTTATTATTAATATTATTATCATTATTATCATTATTATTAGCATTACTATTACTATTAATATTATCATTATTATGGTTTAACTTTAATTTTGCCTGTTGTTTAACGGATTGATTAGCATCTTCATTTAATCCATTATTAACTGATAATCCAGTAGTCAGTAAAATATCATCTGAAGCAAGGGTATTGATACCAAGAGTTGTTGGTAAAGGTGATAGACTAGTTGAAGATGAGTTGGTTTCTTCAGATGAATGGCCATTAGCAAGGGTTAAAATGATTCCAGTTTCATTGTTAGTTGATTTAACATTTGAAAGTGTCGATTTGGATCCAGTTAACAGGGTTAATGTTGATGATGATAATGGTGAGGTTGACTCGCAACCTTCAACCGAGGTGAAACGTTTCTTACAGGATACATTATCAGAGTCTCGGCTTACATCACAGTGGCGCTTTATCTGAGTCTTGTCAAGGCATCTTTCCTCTTTAATTGATCCACCTCTTCCTGATCCTCTCCCAGTGTTACCTTTATCCCTTCTCAATGAACCAATAGTGAGACCATTGTTTCCCATTAACAGTTCACTTGACCTAAGTTCATTACCATTGATGGGTACAGATGCCAAGGAATGCCTTCTTGTAATCAATAAGGTTTCATTTTCATTTGATTTTAAATTATTAGTATTATTATCATTAATATTATTATTATTTGAATTATTATTAGAATTTAAATTGTTATTTCTTCCTTGACTTGAGTTGATAACGTTGTTCATGTTAGTAGTAGATGATGATAAAGTTGTATGCTCGTTGATTGTTGAGTAATTGAAGGTTGATTCAAGGACATTGGAGTTACTTCGACTCAGGGAAACAGGTTTAGGTTGGATCCTTTTGTACTTTTGGGTTACTGTGGATAACGATGGAGGTGATGTTAATGATGTTGACTTAATTGTTGAACAGGATGATGAAGATGATGATGTAGTAGTTAAAGAAGAAGAAGAAGATGAAGTGGAAACGAAAGAAGTGGTAGTAGATGGGGTGGAAGATGATGACAAACAAGAAACAGGAACAGACTGAGATCCACTTTTATCACCAGTTAAAATTCGAGAAATCGATCGAGTTGCCGCTGTTAATTGTACATTATTAGGTAAAACAATTATATGATGTGAAGTACCACTTCTAGGTATCTGTAAAAAGAGAGAGACAAGAATAGATTATTAACTTTACCAGAAAAAAAAGAGAAAAGAAAAGTTTATTTTCCATTTTTAAATTGTATTAACTTTCCAATTGAATATGATTTAAAACAAAAGGTAATGAGTTATTGCAAGGCTAATGGATCATTTACTTATGAAAATACTAATAAAATAACGATGTAACCTATTAATTTTTGGGTGAACAAGGAAAGGTTTTTGGATACTTTTTTGTTTCTTTGCTTGATTGATTTACTTCTTAAAGATATAATCTGTTTTTGATTTCTTTTTGTTGTTGTTGTGTGTTCACCATTTTGTTGAACATTTGATGATTGAGATGATGATGATTATGATGATCATAAAGGCAACTGACAATTTAAAATTAATGACTGAGAAATGTAACAAGGTAAGGAAAAGGCGTTCTGTTTTATCATTTCTTGTAACTATTTCAACCTTAACTTGGATAGTTTCATGTTGATGATAATGATAGTTAATAATGTTACTTGGTTGGCTTCCTTTGGTCAACAAGAAGATAATAATGATGATGAGAAAGAAATTAAGTATCGCAAGTATTAGAAGTATTAAATCAGCATTCAAGATTATAATTTGGCCAACTATTGATGCGTTCATAGAGTTAAGGTCAAAATGTTTCTTTTTTTCCATTTTTGATACTGGACAATATTTAAGATAATGGTCAGTCAAAGGGTATTGTTTAAGCACTTGGCTTTGAGTTTCAATGAGAAGTAGTCGTAAGAAGAAAAAGAAGAAAAAAGAGAAAGAAAATGACGAAAATGAGAGAAAAAAAGTAAACATATAAACTACTTTATCATCATCCCTTTCTGAACATTTAATGCAATCAAGGAATGATGAAAGTAGTGAAAGAACCAGTAGAACCAGAAAAGGAAGCTCAAGATGAAGCTCAAGATGAAGTTGAAGAGGAGTAAAGGCAAACTAAACATGGCAAGAAGATTTGATTTGTTAAGAATTTTTTTTCCTCATTTTCTTCATGAGTTTTTTTTCTCATCTTATGAACACTATTAAACATGGTCAATAATAATGATATCATGTTTGTACACAATGAACATTTTTTACTTTAAATTGCTTCTAATGAATAGAATCAATAGAGAAAAAGTTGACTTTGATTATGAAGAGCAAAAATTTACAATTTAAAAGTAAATTAACGGGCGAATATTGATTGTTGGATCATCATCATGGTATAATTTTGATTAAAGTATTGAAAGGTTTTGCCCTGATTTTGAAGTAACGAGAAAAAAAAACATTTTGTCAACACATTAAACTAACTCAATTTGGAGTAAAAGGCAAGATTAAAGTTTAAAGGAATTATGAAAGGTTTAAAATGAATAGGGCAAGGTTGTAATTTTGAAATGAAAGGATCAACATGATAATCATGATAATGTATAAGTAATCAAATGAAAGTTTGTTAAATTGATTTGATGAAAATGGCCATTTAGGGTTTGAGGAGAAAGTAATGAAAGTGTAACAATTTTAGCAGAATCATGAAAAATAATGAAACTATTCAAGGTAGAGTCACACACACACAAAGCAAGATATTAATTTGATGTAATAGAGAGAGAAAAAAATATGAGAGAAAAAATGAAAGAGAAAAAAGTTGGACAGAAAACATTAAGAATTATAAACAACTGGAAACTTTCATGTAATCATGAGTTGTGCTGAGAAATACAAATGTTAACAGGGAAAAGAGAAAAGGTTACTAAGAATCATTTTTCAGATTAAAAGACTTTTTACTCTTCGCATTCTGGGTTCCTTCATCTTATTGATGACTTTTTTTCTTCAACTATTATTCGTTTGATAATCAACTCGTAGCTATTAAATTTGTGCACTTTACACCGGAAATTAAGTGACAATTGCATCGTTATTGCTTTTCACCATCATCATGATCATCATTAAATCCTTAACCTTGATAATAGACAAAAATGTTACAAATTTCAAGAACTATCACTCGATTCAACTTCCATCTTTTTTGGCTGATTACAAGTGAAAAAGTATCAAAATTTTCATCAATCAATAGCATGTAAAAACCTTGTTCCAAAACAAAATGCTGTCCGTTCCAGGACAACATGGAGAAGTTTTTTGAAACAGAATTTCAATTTTTGGAAAGAAAGTTGATTCAATAAAAGACCATGAGAATGAAATTTTTATATTTTACTATGAAAATTTAGTTTTAATTGAATTTAAGATTTCTATCATTTTCTCGCTCTTCGAGTGCTGAGCTTCTGCCCATTTTGAAATTCCTCTTTCGGAATTCCAAGGTATCGCTCATATTTCTCGTCAATTTGATAAAATTGTCTTTCCCTTCTTTTTCTTCTTCTGAACATCGACATTAAATGTTGCAAAGCAGCATATGGATTGAATGTTGAATAATAGCAATACTGTAATTTATGGGCAATACAAACTATTATGAGATGGAGAAACGTAAATTGTTGAAAGGGAAAAAACAAAAAATAAAATGAACCATGAAAAGCTTTTTTCTGTATACTTTTCATGGAAATATCATCAAATAGCAATAATACAATGTATCAAGTGAATATACAGATAGTCAATGCATTTATTAGTAACATATTTACATGATGCATTTAGTTTCATTTTTTTGTTGTTCATGTTGCTAGATCAGTGTATAAGTGTGTATCCATTGTTAAGTAGAGAAAGAAAGCAATTCAATAATGAATCAACTGAATGAATAGAATGAGAAAAAAAGGGGAAAGTTGATGCTTTTTGTTTGAAAATTGAAGAAGATGATGCAAAAAAATATGGAAAAAAATTGAAGAGAAGAAAAGGCTTCAATTGAAGAAGTTCATTTTTGTTGGGAAACAAATTAATATGCTTCTCATGTTATAAATGTTTTATTGTTAATCATTGATCATCATGAGCTTTCAGGGCAACTTCCTGTTCTACGGAATTACAGAAGTGTACAGTTATCCATGATACAGATAAGTTATGAGTTTTGTATTCTCATATTAATGATCACAGTTGCTGAAAAAAGCTATTATATTGAATAATTATCAAAGTGAAAATAATCAGTTTAAGAATCAATTTTTGGGATAACAATTTGCTTCCAACAGATAATATTAAATATATCAATAAATGTTGAATATTGAAGCGAGTTATTAATACTTGATATTATCATGATTATCGGACAAACTTGAGAAAGCAAAAGGTTATTACAATAATGACAATATTATGAGCATGACAGGTTTACCAGTTTATGAATAGTTTTACACATGAAGAGGTTAAAAAAGATATGAAAGTCACATAGAAGCTTTAAATGATATTAAAGTTATGACCAGAGTGAAGAGACAATATAATTATTATTGTAATGCTATAATATCAAAATAATGATGATTAAATGATGGAAAGGTAATGTTTGGATGAAAGGTTAATATGATATTTGGTTTAACCTGAAAAGGGAAACCAGTTGTAACTCATGTCAATTGATTGGATGGAAACGATAAAAGTGAGTGAGTTCAATGGAAATCACATTAAAACGATTGAAATAATCAAAAGATCACCTTGATGGTTGGTGAAACACACTGAGATGGCGACTCATTATCATCTAGACCTGTTTAAATAAATTAGTTACCAAGTGAGTTAACAGTGAAATTAATTTGAAACTCAGTGAAGTTACATTAAAATTTTAGTTTACTTTGAAAGGGTGAAACAAAAATGAAAAGGTAATTTGAACAAGTAAAAGTGAAACTTAACTGGACATAACAATCATTTTGACTGCCATTGTTGTTGTGCTCATTTAATCGATAAATGTTATCATGTATACACATTGAATTTATCAGGCTTGATTTAAACTTTTCAATGTTTTTCTTTCTTCTCGCATTTTACAATTGATGGAATGATGAGAATGATGATAAATGGAGAAAAAGAAGAAAATTTTCTTCAAATACTTTCGAGCTTCAAGTTGAATCAAAACGAAATACAGAAATGTACAAGGTTATGGTTCAAATTTACTTAAAATTGATAGCTTCAATCAATCAAACTGGTTGAAACGTTGAGCGATAAACGTAAAGCAAGGAAAAGGGGAAAAAAGTAATAAGATGTTGGATTCTGATAGTAATGATGAAAAGATGATCAAGTTTGGAGAGAGAAAAGTGTAATTCAGTTTGGTGGTCAACAAGTTTTCCTCTTTTTCATCCATTAAAAGCATTATCATTTTCAAATTATTCAGATGTGATCAGATTATTGTATTATCATGCGATGAAAGATGTTGAACAAAAGAAAAGGAAAAATGCTATTGGCTGCTCTTAATTGTTTACCCAAACTTACGGATCATGGTAAATAAGATTCACCAGAAAAACTGTTCAAATCAAATACTAATCGTTTATTCATTAGTATTCATTTGATGATCCTACGCTTACTAACCACACCTATTTTTGACCTTGACTTTGAATAGCCATACTCACAATAAATATATTATGTTACAATCATCTTCACCATTCAATTCACTCCTTTAATTCCACTTTCATTTCACCTTACAGTCTCTTTCTTTTCCCATTCTCTCTGTCCATCCCTTCGTCAATTACAACAACTTCATCATCTTGTGCTTTTCCCATTTCAAAAGGAAGATGAGAAACAAATTATTAAAGGGTGGAAACCAGAAAGAAAGAGAAATAATCTTTTCCATTTTCAGTCACATCACAGAAACGGTTTTTTCATCTTTTCCCAAATAGCACAACTGAATTTTAATCATTGCAATCAAGTGCTAACACATTAAACCAGCATTTTCAACAACGAAATGCCTTTTCTCATGAAAAAATTTGATTCTTTTCGCCCAATTTTGACAGTAAACTCGGTCAATATTGGATTCAATTTTTATCATTAATGTTGCTTCAATGAAAAAACAGCAAAAACTTGCTAAGTGCAAAAATATCATTTGATAATAAACTGGAAAACCATTTTTGATCATTTAATATGCATTTGGAAATGCGTAGGCAAGTCATGATTATTGT